GGGCTGGGCCCTAGCCTGGAGATTTCTATAAGCACCAAAGACTGGAGGACATCAGGGAGCCCCCTGCAGGAGAGCAAAGGGAACGCACCAGAGCTCCAGTTGGTAGGAGCAACTGTTTTATTCTGAGCAGCAAAGACAGTTCTTTTTATATTTTTTAACAGACTGTTTTAGAATAAAACTTTTGGATCACACTTTGGTTTCAGTCTTCCTTTAGCAGTGGAACACTCACAAATGCTGGAATCCGGGAACCTGCTTGGTGACATTAATTTGGTGTTGTTGGCAGGATTCCAGCTCCACTGTTAAAGGATTTGGAAAGAAAAAAAGGAAAAAGAGCTGAACGACGGATGCTGCTCAGAGTAGTACATCCTCACCGGTTACTGCACAGCTTTTCTTACCATGGTTATGGGGGCTGCTTGGGTTCCTAAATTTGATGGTAAACAAGCTAAATTTGGGGAATGGAGGGCTCAGGTGGAAGCCATGTTGCGGGCTCAGGGGCTGAGTCCCCAGCAGCAAGCCGATTTTATTACTTTATTACTTTATTATTTTATTCTTTAGAAGGGGAGCCCAAACGAGAGCTGCAGCTCATTAACCCCAGAGATAAGAATACTGGAAAGAAAGTTTACAAACACTGTATGCCAAACCACCTACTAGAACACAGTTACGTGCCAGCTTCTTCAACTGCAGGCAGAAGTTAGAAGAGAACATTGGTTCCTTCATACTGAGACTGAGAGAACTGTTTTCCAGATGGCGGGAGCAAGATGAGGCTGGTGTGGATGGTGATGAGGACCTCTTACTGGATCAGCTGATGGTGGGACTACAACCAGGGCCAATAAAACAAGAGTTGAGCAGACAACTGCGGCGCAGAGAGAGTATGACATTTTTAGAAGCTTGCCAAGAAGCACGGGCTTTAGCCCAGGAACTGCAGGATGGAGATGTGGTTCTTTCCCAGAGGGTGATTGCACCAGCCTCCAAGAGTCCAGACACTAGGATGAATGAAAAACAAAATGTCAAAATGCAGGCCAAGTACCAGGCAGAGGTGATGGAGGATATGAAGAAAGAGCTCATGGAGCAGATGAAAGCTGTTGCAGTGGATCTCATGGCGGAAATGCGGACACAGATGGCCTTGAAGGATGCCCCTACAGCCCCAAGAACGGATCGGTTCCCAGCTCCAACACAAGTCCCTCGGAAAGCGACAGCGACCTGATAGGACACCATCCTATCAGTGGGACGCTCAAGGCAGGCCCATTTGTCATAAATGTGGGGCAGTTGGGCATGTACAACGTTACTGCTCCCAAAGATCATCCAGGCCGCAGGATTTTTAACACCCCCACCCCCCACCCCCCCCACGATCGAGGGCCAACTTGTGGGGGCTGTCACTCAGGATGAGCCCGCGACCCCAGTGGTGACCCAGTCCACATCTACTCTGGTCAGTGAGTGCCCTGTTGTTACTGTTAAAATGAACGGTCACTCTATTCCCTTCATTCTTGATACTGGTTCTCAAGTGACTATGTTAAGCAAAAGCATGTTTACAAAGTACTTGGAGGGGACCAGCGTGACCAGCCCTGGCCACCTCCCTTGGTTGACGTTGCAAGCTGCAAATGGCCTGAAGATCCCCTATATAGGCTACGCCCTTGTGGACTGCCAAGTAGGGAAGTAGCATGTGCCCAAAAGGGGGTAATTATTGTTGAGGATGACTGCCTGGGACCCAATAGTGGTATCCTGGGTATGGACATTATTCAAGCTGTTTGGTTTGTCCTCACACAGGGAAGCCACCCGGGGCTGACAGCGTTTAAAACAACTATAAACCCCCCAGAAGGGCAGATATGGACCCAAGCATTTGTGGAGTGCCGTCGGGTCGCCACCAAGAACCCTTGTCCACCCTACCATGGTGTGGCAAAACTACCACCTCAACCACCAGTCCTCATCCGGCCCATTCGGAAATGGTTATATGGGCACAGGTAACTGATGGAGCAACTAACCAATCGTGTGATGTGATTGTGGAACCTCTTAGAGACAGTGACACAGAGTGGTGTGTGGGGAGAACATTGGCCACATTGAGAGGTGGAAAGGTGCCCTGTAAGGTCTGCAATCCTAACCCTTATCCAGTTGAAGTCTCGCAGCATCAGCCTTTGGCCCAAGTGCTGGAGGTGGCACAAGATGACATAAAGGGGGAACAAGAATTGGTTCTCCACACAGTGGAACCGGATGTGGTGGAAGTGTCGGTGAGCCAGTCGGGGGTTGTAGCTGCAGCTGATTACCTGAAGTTACATCCTGTTATGTCATTACGGGGAGATGGGCTGACAGTCGACCAACAGACAGCGATGACCGGTCTGCTGCAAGAATGGGCCAAGGTGTTCTCCAGCCATGATGAGGATTTTGGCCGCACTGGGGTTGTGAAGAATCAAATTCCAACTGGAGCGGCGCCGCCAAGTCGCGAAAGGTATCGACCTGTTCCACCGAGTCTTTATGCTGCCCTACGAGCCCTACTACAAAACATGATCAAAGGTGGGATTGTGAGGGAGAGCGCAAGCCCATGGGCTGCACCAATTGTATTGGTGAAAAAGAAGGATGGAAGCTGGCGCTTCTGTGTGGACTACAGGAGGCTGAACGCCCTGACCCACAAGGATGCGTACCCCTTGCCCGGTATTGAAGAATCCCTGACTGGACTGTAAGCCGCTAAATGGTACTCCACTTTAGATCTTTCAAGTGGTTACTGGCAAGTGGAGATGGACCCAACTGATCGGGAGAAGACTGCCTTTACTACGCCTGTAGGCCTGTACGAGTTCTTAAACTCCCTGACCCGGGAGCCACGAACACTCAGGCAGACCACACCCCACACCAGGTGTGGCAGGGGGAGGGGACCGTCAGCTCATCAGAATGCAGCTGCTGAGGTTCAAACTGGATCGTCTAAGGACTCCCATGCTGCACCTCAGCTGATCTCTGCATCAACTTCCTGTTTCCTATTTTTATCTTCATTTCATTTTAATTTATTTTACTTTAGTTCAGTCATTTATTTTTTATTATCTCTTTAAGAAATTCTCAGTTTTTACATTAATATACCATCCATGTTTAAATACCAAAATGACTTTTAAAACTTCTCATTGACGGCCTTGTGTTTACTCAGATCTTAATGTCTTTAATTATACATTCATTATAATTGAGTCTTTTTTTATTAAGTAAATTAATTATTGCAGTTTTTATGTACTTATTTATTGTTTTGTTTAACTAACCTATAATGATGAGCACCTTTTAGCACATAGAGTTACATAAAAGGGTTTTATTAAAAAATATTATTTTGATCAAATCATTTTAAGGCTGTGGTTTTTGCTTCGTTAAACATTCCTGGTCCTCTGAAGCCACACGACCCCTGAAGTATGGCTCCTCTCGGGAAATCTTCATAAAGACAAAACGGTTTTATTTGTATAGCACATTTCCTACAAAAAGGCAAGTCAGTGTGCTATAAAGCAACTGAAGACATTTAAAATTCTGCCATTCTGTTTGAAAATTTTTATTTTTGTTTTTCCCTAACAGACGTGTCTTTCATGCTGTTTTGGTGTGAAGCTCCTTTTGCTTTTATCTTGAACGGCATAATCTAACATTTTTAATTTAAAAAACATGTGCTTTAAGAAGTTAAATTAAGTTACCATTAAAACTGACTCAAAAAGTAAAGTTAAGTCAAATAACATTTAAGTTTTAGAAAAACTTCTGAGTTTTTGGTTTTTGTATAAAATTATATTTCACATGGTTTATTTCATTTACTTTACTTATTTGCTGTTCTGCACACAGGATGTTTAGAAGTTTGCTTTCTGTGTTGAGTCCATGTTTAAAATTACAGGACAATACCTGTGATGCACCGTGTGGCTAGCTGCAACATGCAGATCAGGAGGACTTGCAGCATGTGAGGTGGACATATCACAGCATCATCAACATCATTACGTTCCTAAGATACTCAAAGTTATCTGGCAAGTTTTACATATTTGGCTTGGGTTTGATTGTTTTTGACATGATTAGACACTCAGGAGATGCAATGATGGCTTATTTTTTTAGGAAAATCCGATCATTATTAGCATTAATAATAATTATTATTATTATTATGTATTTATTATTATTATTGTTATTATTATTATTATAGGGTTTAAACACACTGGTCCAGTATAAAATAAGATAAAATGCATAAAATTTAAAAATGAAACTAATTAAAGCATAATAAAATATTTCAAAGTTTAAATTCATAAAGGCAACAGACAATGTTTAAAATACATGAAGCATATATTCCATTCCTAAAACAAAAACATGTATCTAGTTTCACTACAAACAAAACCTTTATCATCTCATCAACAGAATTATTCAATCTATGCAGTAATTCATGCATAAAATTTCTCCTTACAATAAAAAATGCAGAAGTCCAATTTTTTCTTTAAACATTAACAATAAAGACCTTTTTGACCTTTGTTTAATAAAGCGGTGATACAGTTTTTCGCCACTAGGTGAAGCTGTCAGCGCACAGTCAACTAACAGCTGGAGGTCCAGTGATTACTGTTAGTAGTAGTACTCCAAAAACGTCATCATCTAGTATCATGTACTAAACAAAAAGATGTCCAAACTCTGTCTTGGTGTACTTTTATATTTGCTTAATTGAATATTACAACAGTTAGCATAGCCTACTATAATAAAAGCTGGACAATTAACCAATAAAATATATTTATTTATGGTTTTGATTAATTTAGGGTCAAAATGAAACGCCATAGGAATGATCTTATTATAAAATGATGACAACAGGAGATAAAAATGCTTGTTTATTTGAGGTTCATGTAGTTTGTCGCTGTTTTTGGTGAGAAACGACACTGATTTGGTTCTTAGAGTTCTGGCCATAGGTTCAGGTCTGCGTGGTTCGGCTCCAGTCAGAGCAGAAATGGTCCAACTCTTGGCCACGCCTCCTCACGGGGTTACGTCACTGAAACGGCTCGCGCTCAGCTGCAGGTTGATTCATTCAGTTTGCTCCGCTCTAACGGACCTCACCATGGACCGGACCCGGACTGGACCTTCATCGCCTCTACAGCTCTGAGACGGACCGGCGAGTCTTCTGAGTTTCCCGCTTTCCTCCGTCTGAACCAGTTAGGCTTTTTAGCCCGAGGAAATTCAAATTTTATTTCGAATGAATTCGATAGTTTAGAGTTCTTTTTAAGCTCACGCTTAAGAACCGCTGAAATAACGGTCCCACATTCCGAGCCACGGGGCAGAACCGGAGTTTTGGAGGAAGGAGATCTTCTGGTGGTCTTGTCCTGAAACTTTCTCAGCTCCCATCAGCTAACGGGGAGGCTGCGGAGACAGAATGCTGCTATCTCCTGTCCACATCGGCGGCCCCGGTGGTTTCGTGGTGTTTATGTGAAGGCTAAACGCAAACATGATCTCGGAGGAGAGAAGCAGCCCCGTAACTAAACAAACCCTGAGCTTCCCGGTGGGTTTGCTTATCCGTTCTCCGAAGAGGCGCCTGGCCATGCTGGGGAGGAAACACAGCAATGGATCCGTGCAGTAAGTCCGCTCAGGCTCCTCTTTAGCTCATTCACTTGTCAGAATAGTTTCGACCACTTTACCGCTGATGGAGGCGGTCACATGGTGATTATTTGTCATCTATTTTCACACCATGACAGCTTTTAGACAGTCAAAATTTGTATTAAAATGATTTATTTATCAGTTTCCTGATAATTTGTACTAAACATCCTACAATGTACTAATAAATATGTCTTTATTGTTTATTTCTTTAAAATTCTTTGTTTGAAAGTTCAACAACATCCAAAAACAATGGTTCCCAATCCCAGGGTCAGGGCTCCAATCCGAATCATCAAACACTGGTGAGGACAGTCAGATAATAATTAAACAAGGCCTGGGACGATAACAAATTTTGCTGGACGATATATTGTCCAACAAATTATTGACAATAAACGATATTATTGTGGACATTACTGAGACCAAAAGAACCACTTATGTAATGTTAATCTCATAATTATGCAAGAACACCCTTTAAAATGTGTCAATTAAACCTTTATTCAACATTGGAATGCCCAGACCCAGAACTTCTAAATAAATAAATAAAACAAACAAATAAATAAATGAAAAAGGACTTTCACTCTATGTTAGAAAATATTGCAACAAAACAATAAAATAGATCTTGTCTCTTCAAAACAATAAATAAAATGGCCTATCCAGTGTCAACCAAAACTGTAACCATAATGATAAATAATAATAATAATAATAATAGAGTTGTACATGTCTTAACTTCGATATATTGAGGCTGGAAAAATTGAGTAAATTTTCATTGATTAATTGATTTATTGGTTATTGTCCCAGCCCTAAATGTAATCATTAAAATAGTTGTTATAAAGGTATAGAAAGACTCACAGTTATTTAGGTAAAGCCCATCTTCATTTGAATGGATTCAAGTTTTTTTTTTCAATTCAAGTTTATTCATAAAGCGCGAAATCACGACAAGAGTCGTCTCAAGGACCTTCACACGGTAAACATTCCAGTCCAGGTCAGTTCATTAAGCCAATCAGAAAAAAGTTTAAGCAGCTAAGCAGCCATCCACCACAACTCACTGGGGATCAAGAAGACAGAGCACACACACACACACACACACACACACACACACACACACACACACACACACACACACACACACACACACACACACACAAAGACAAGTAATGTGTATAGTTATATTGTGATTACATAGTAAATATTCTATTTGGTGAAAGATAAACTTTATTGTATTTATCCTAGTGAATCTATAATTAAACAGGTAAACTAGTAGTAGCACATCCAACGTCAAGGAAAGCAAAAAGTTATTATCAGGAGAGGGAGAATGTTTAAGCAGCAGTGTGCTAGACGATGGCTCCCTCCATGAGGCCACCACAGCTCAGCAGAACATCGTTGTAGCTTCTTCTGGGGAGAAAAACACTTAGAGAGAAAATAAAGTTAACAGCTGAAATTGCAGAAAATAATACAGTTAAAGAGCAGACTGTAGAAGAAAGTTAGCCTGGTGAACTAGACCAAATTCTTGCTTTGCAAAGTTTGTAGGAATGCTCCACTGGAACTTCTGCAGCCCCAACAGCATTCTGGCTGGCCAATCACAGTTCTCTAGAGGGGTTTCAAACACATAAAGAGCTGTGATTGGTCCATAATGGTGGGCCAATCATAGTGCTCTATCTGCTTAGTGAACAAATCACAGAGCTTTATCCGCTTTGTGGGCCAATCAGGGCACTCTATATGCCTGGTGGGTGGGATGATGCAACAGAATGAAGCAAGAGTATGTCACATTCATTGTCCAGTGGAATGTGGAGATCATTTGAAAGACAACGGTAGATCCCACCCCACAACCGAGAGCCGTCCATGGAGCGTGGCCAGACTAAATAAAACATTTATTTAGTCTGGCTTGCCAGGCTAGAAGAAAGTTGTAGAGTGTGAAAAGTGGTCAGTGAATCCTCCAGCACTCTAAAGCCGGGTGTACACTGTGCAACTTTTTCACTTTTTTGAGCCGATTTTCCACTCCTGCGAGAATCCACAAGATCGGGGCGAGTTTTGCGCCGAGATGTCGTGTAGTATACGGGGGTTACGAGAGGCGATTAACACCACGTGACCAGCTACCGATCAGCAATTTTGAGCTCGCTCAGACTTCTGGCGTGTTTAATATTTTGCTCGTCCCTCGTGAGGGTATCGCACTGTTGAAGCGGCGCTGCGAGCAGCTGCGACCCAAAAAGTATCAGAACCGCTCACGACGCATGCGCAATCCTGCATCAACACCGCCCGCTCGCTATTTCCCTAATAACACACGCTGTTCGTTTTAATTTCTACACGTTTTATTACTCACAAGGATTGTCAAGAAAGCGTGTTTGTCTTGTTCATGTCAAATTAAACTGACCACAAAACACAGATTTACTTTATTTCATTTTCCTCATCCAACCCCCATAAATCCCTGTGTGTCCTCCTGCAGCACTCCCGAAGGACAACAGGCAAGACAGGACAAAAAAGTCTGACGTGTTGAGTAAAAACTGCTATTTTTAGCATATTTTTAGGGCCGACATGTTGCTACCAGACCTACAGTGTGAGCGCCTGGCTCGTGAGATCTGCCCTGCGAGGAAGTCGTACAGTTTGAGCTGAAGCTGAGTGCTATGAGTGAAAAAGTCGCACAGTGTCCGCCCGGCTTAAGCCTATAGCAGCATAACTACAGAGATAACTCTGAATAACCTAGCCTTTTAGATGGAGGCATGTTGGAGGCAGGGCAAGAGAGAGCCGTCTTTACCGACAGAAGAAGAAGAAGAAAATATCATTTCTATAGCGCCTCTCAAGATAAAAATCACGAGGCGCTACACAAAAACAAAAAATGTAAAAATATAAAAAAGCATTTAGAAAATGTTTAAAAATATATTTAAAATGAGCAAAAATAGACAATTGTGATTAAAAAGAAAAAATGTTAAGAAAGAGAGAGAGTGAACAGGAAAAAGGGAAAATCAGTGGATCCTGAGGAAGGTGGAATAGGTGGGGAGAGCAGAATAAAGAGAGAGTGGTGAAGAAGGTCATACAAAAGCCAGCTTGAACAGGTGAGTCTTCAGCTGCTTTTTAAAGGAGACCACTGAGTCCACTGATCTCAGGCTCAGGGGGAGAGAGGTCCAGAGTCTGGGGGCCACAGCAGCAGATGATCTGTCACCTTTGGTCTTTAGCCTGGTGCTGCACAACCAGTAGGCTTTGATCACTGGACCTCAGGGACCTGCTGGGGGTGTAGGGACTAAGAAGATCACCAATGTAAGATGGTGCTTGTCCATGTAAGGCCCTATAGACCAGAACCAGGATCTTGAAATTAACCCTGAAGGTGACTGGCAGCCAGTGAAGCTGGAGGAGAAACGGGGTGATGTGGGTGTATTTGGAGGACTTGGTCAGAAGCCGAGCACAGGCGTTCTGAACCACCTGTAGACGGTTCAGGGAGGTTCTGCTCAGACACGTGAAAAGAGAGTTACAGTAGTCTTAAGCCTGGTTTATGCTTCTCCGTCAGCTCCGCAAGGGACAGACACGCACGGATTGACGGAAGCGTTTTGCTCTCATACTTCTCCGTCTCCTGGAGAGTGTTGCAAAGCAACTGCCCGGCAGGACAACAGAGGGCGTAGCGCTGTTCTGTGGCATCCTGTCATGTATCGGTCCAAGATCGTGTGTTTATATTGTGTTTTTGTGTATATAAGAGACTTTTAACACGGACATATTTGTCTCTCATTCTCCCACCGCTTCATGCGCTCCCCACCTCTAAACCCACGTTTCCTGTCATTTCCGTCCACAAATAAGACGCTTGCTGCGCATCTTTTCACTCCTCCAGTCACGGGAGAATTAAACGTTCATATTTTTAGAGTTTTTTCGCGAGATATTCTTCAAGCTTCTCCGTGTCTGCCGCTTGTTATCCTCGGCTCTCTTTGCAATGGCGGCGCTGTAAACAACAGCGGTGTCCTGACCAATCACAAGCTTGCGTAATCCGTCTCGTTTGACGGATGTTTAAAAAAGTGGGCTCGACTCCGTACGTACGTGCGTGCCGTACGCAAGGACGAATAATGGCGTTGCGTGTCTCCGCACTGACGCAGACGGAGAAGCATAAATCAGGCTTAAGCGTGAGGAGATGAAGGTGTGGAGAACTGTCTCAAGTTCAGAGCGGGACAGAATGGGACTCAGCTTAGCAATGTTCCTGAGATGGAAGAAGGAAGAGCGAACAAGAGAACTGACATGAGAATCCAGGGTGAGAGCTGGGTCAAAGGTCACGCCAAGATTCCTGACGGAAGGTTTGTTGTGAGAGGCAAGCTGACCAAGAGAGTCTCTGACTTTGGGAACCAGCTTGTCTGGGGCACAGATGAGGATCTCAGTCTTATCTTCATTCAGCTGAAGAAAGCTCCCACCATCCAGGTTTTGATAGAGTCTAAGCAGGTCTGTAACAGCTGAAGCTTAGACATCTCATGGGGCTTAAAGGAGATGTACAGTTGGATGTCATCTGCATAAAGATGATAGGAGATTCCTTTGAAGGAGCTCAGGATGTGCTGAAGAGGAAGCAGATAGAGGAGGAAGAGCAGAGGCCCCAGCACAGAACCTTGTGGGACACCATGGGTAAGGGAGGTGGTGGAGGACCTAAACTTGGAGACGGCCACGGAAAAGGAGCGCTCAGAGAGATAAGAGGAGAACCACTCCAGAGCAGATCCTGATAGGCCTACCCAGTCTTTCAGCCTCTCCAGTAGCAGGTGATGGTCAACAGTGTCAAAGGCTGCAGTCAGGTCCAGCAGGACCAGAACAGAACAGTCCCCTGCATCACTGTGAGTCAGAAGGTCATAGAGACCCTAAGAAGAGCTGTTTCAGTAGAATGAGCTCTACAAAAACCTGTCTGGAAGCTATCATAGATGTTATGTTCATCAAGAACAGCTGTGAGTTGTTTAGCCACAACCTTTTCCAAGATCTTGGAGATGAACGGAAGTTTAGAGATGGGTCTGAAGCTGCTATGGAGAGAGGGGTCGAGACTCGGTTTTTTAAGAAGCGGGTGGATTACAGCGTTCTTAAAGTAAGCAGGGACCTGACCAGAGACCAGAGAAGCATTAATTATAGAGAGCACGCTGGGACCGATGGACTGAAAAGCACTTTTAAACAAAGATGAGGGTAAGATGTGGAGGGGGCATGCAGAGGTCTTCATAGAGTTAACTAGTTTGGTTAACTCAGGCAAAGAAACAGGAGCAAAGCTATCTAGGATGATGGGCCTGGTTGGAGTCGGGAGAGGCAGCGATAAGGCTGAAGGAGAGATGCTAGATCTAACCTTATTGACTTTGTCCACAAAGAAAGACAGAAAGTTCTCACAGTCTGCAACAGAGTGGATGGAGGCTGTAGGAGAGGCAGGAGAGACGATGCTGCTGATGGTGTTAAACAGCACCTTGGGGTTCCCTTTGCTCTGGGACACCAGGTTGGAGAATTAGGAAACCCTAGCGTCTCTGACTGCAGAGTTAAAGGATGTCAGAAGATCCTTTAGGTGCAGCAGATGGACGTGGAGATGGGTTTTCTTCCACAAACGCTCAATTTTTCTGCATTGGCGCTTCAGGCTGCGAAGGCTGTCATTAAACCAGGGAGTAGGGTTCACTGCAGGAACTGATCTGGTTCTGAAAGGACAGATGTTGTCCAGAATGGAGAGGCAGTGCTCGTTGAACTGAGATGTTAAGGAATCTGGGTTGTTATCAGAAGAACACGGTGGATCAAAAGCAGCAGAAAAATTGCTAGCTGTGCTCTCATTAAGAAAACGAGAACTAACCATACGGCGAGCAAAATATATAATATATTAATATATAAGACATACAACATCCAGGTAAGATCCTTTAGGTGCAGCAGATGGACGTGGAGATGAGTTTTCTTCCACAAACGCTCAATTTTTCTGCAAATTGGACTGTACACTCCACCTCCCTCTACTCCCCCACTTGTCCAGATTTAGGCTAACATCAGATTTTAACTATAGGCCCTATCAAATAAAAATGTTTTAAGCCTAGTCTTAAAAGTAGACAAGGTGTCTGCCTGACGGACTAAAGCTGGGAGCTCAGTGTTTCCCTTAGGAATTTTTTCAACGGTGGTGGGGGAAGGGGGTGGGTGGGAATTATGACACGTCTCACCTTCATGTTAACATTGTTGTGTTTGATGCACTCCACTTTAATTTGCACAATATACACCAATATTTGCACAATAATATTTTCTGTTTTAAACTCTGTGACACACTTTGCAGGGGGGATTTGGTATTAAATTTTTCTTGGCGTCTGGAAAAACATCTCTTTTTGCCCCCCTTTTTTTGACTTTCTGCACCCTTTATTTTGGTCCAAGATCTTTACTGGGCTGGCCCTATCAAAAACGTTCTACACCCCTGCTTAGTAGACTTCATGAAGTATTTTTAAGCCAGTATAAAAATGACTGAAACACAAATTTACATATTTGGCATTATTGACCAATATATGTGATCTAATTTATTTGTTAAGAACATCAAGATGCATTACAGTGAACATTATAATAAAGCCGGGCGGACACTGTGCGACTTTTTCACTCGTAACACAGCTTCAGCTCAAACTGTACGACTTCCTCGCAGGGCAGATCTCACGAGTCATGTGCTCACACTGTACGATCCAGTTCTCGGATGCGACCTGACTGCTCACACTGTAGGTCTGGTAGCAACACGTCGGACCTAAAAATATGCTACATGTAGACGTTTTTACTCAACACGTCAGACTTTTTTGTCTTGTTTTGCCTGTTGTCCTTCGGGAGTGCTGCAGGAGGACACACAGGGATTTATGGGGTTGGATGAGGAAAACGAAATAAAGAAAGTAAATCTGTGTTTTGTGGTCAGTTTAATTTGACATGAACACGACAAACACGCTTTCTTGACAATCCTTGTGAGTAAAAAAAAATGTGTAGAAACAAAAACGAACAGCGTGTGTTATTAGGGAAATAGCAAGCAAGCGGTGTTGATGCAGGATTGCGCATGTGCCGTGAGCGGTTCTGATACTTTTTGGGTCGCAGCTGCTCGCAGCGCCGCTTCAACGATGCGATACCCTCACGAAGGACGAGCAAAATTTCAAACACGCCAGAAGTTTGGGCGAGCTCACGATTGCTGATCAGTAGCTGGTCACATGGTGTTAATCGCCTCTCGCAACCCCCTGTACACTACATGATGCTCAGCGCAAAATGCGCCCCGATCTCGTGGATTCTTGCACGAGTGGAAAGTCGGCTCAAAAAAGTGAAAAAGTCGCACAGTGTATGCCTGGCTTAAGCTGGGCGGACACTGTGCGACTTTTTCACTTGTAACACTCAGCTTCAGCTCAAACTGTACGACTTCCTCGCAGGGCAGATCTCACGAGTCATGTGCTCACACTGTACGTCTGGTAGCAACACGTCGGACCTAAAAATATGCTAAAAATAGCAGTTTTTACTCAACACATCAGACTTTTTTGTCTTATTTTGCCTGTTGTCCTTCAGGAGCGCTGCAGGAGGACACGCAGGGATTTATGGGGGTTGGATGAGGAAAACGAAATAAAGAAAGTAAATCTGTGTTTTGTGATCAGTTTAATTTGACATGAACACGATAAACACGCTTTCTTGACAATCCTTGTGAGTAAAAAAAACATGTAGAAATAAAAACGAACGTGTGTTATTAGGGAAATAGCGGGTGAGTGGTGTTGATGCATGATTGCGCATGCGCGGTTCTGGTATTTTTTGGGTCGCAGCGCTGCTTCAACCTTCACGAGGAACGAGCAAAATATCCAACACTCCAGAAGTCCGTGCGAACTCACGACTGCTGATCGGTAGCTGGTCACGTGGTGTTAATCGCCTCTCGTAACCCCCTGTACACTACACGACGCTCAGCGCAAAACTTGCCCCGATCTTGTGGATTCTCGCACGAGTGGAAAATCGGCTCAAAAAAGTGAAAAAGTCGCACAGTGTACGCCCGGCTTGTCTGTGTGTGTGCGTGGATGCCTGTGCCGGCCGAGCTAACTGAGCTTGCGGCTGCAGAGGTTTGTGTGTAGGGAGGGGCGGGCGCTCTATGTGACTGGCCAATCAAAGAGCGTGAAGACAGTCAGTTACTCAATGAGGATTTTCCTTCAGCACGATTACAGATTCATGCTCGTATTAGTCAAAAATGCTTTATCCGTACGCTCATCCCTGTGTGGTGGTGGGTTTCAGGAGGCAGAAGAGCAGGCAACGGATGAAAAAATAAAAATATTGTTTAATTGTAGAACGGGAGCGACAGGACAAACGAACATGCACAAAACGACAATGATCCAACGAAGACAGCAACAAGGAGGGAGGTATAAATACACAAGGGAATCAGGAACACATGGGCAGAGTAATGAGGGACAGGTGAGAACAATAAGGGTAATCAAGGCAGGAGAGACACAGTCAGGGAGGCCAGGGTGGATCATGACAGTACCCCCCCCCCCCCCCCTTTAAGGGGCGGATACCAGACGCCCACAAGGCACACAGCACAGGAGACTCAGGAACGAACGAAGACTAGACTCGGGTACACATGACCAGGGAACACAGAAGACGTGACCAGGGAACAAAGGACTCAGTCCGGGGCTGCGGAGCAGGGGCCTCTGGGATCAGGCGGCACAACTCCGACTTACAAAGACTCCATGTACTCAGTCCGGGGCTGCGGAGCAGGGGCCTCTTGGATCAGGCGGCACAACTCTGACTTACAAAAGTCTCCACAAACTCAGACAAGGGTCGCGGAGCAGGGGCCTCTCGGATCAGGCGGCACAACTCCGAACCATGAAGGGACTCTCGAGCTCGGACCAGGAAACTCGGACTCGAAGACTTGACTTGGGACGGACCAGGAAACTTGAACACTCGGGACCAGGAAATTCAAACACTTGGGATAGAGCTGAAACAACTAATCGATTTAATCGATTATAATCGATTATTAAAATAGTTAACAACTTTTTTAGTCATCGATTAGTTGTTTAATAATCATATTTTACCGCATAAAGTCTATTTTTTACCACAATCTGACATCGGTTACAATCTGTTAAATTTGCCGCCAGTGTGTGGCAGTAATGAGCCACTGATCTACCAGTGGGGCCGTAGAAGAAGAAATTAGCCAATAAGTGCCCTCGGTTTTCATGACGTATCACGTTACTGACGCGCATCTTGCTGTGAGAGATGGCGGATCAACAACAAATACGGAAGAAAAATAGAAGCGACAAAACAAGAGAAACCCCGGACAAAAACCTCACGAGTATGGGAGCACTTCACTAGATGCCTTGAAAAGACCGGTGACCTACAAAATATGCAAAAACCATGGCACGACGGAAGCACGACGTCCCTAAGTGAACATTTGAGATGAAAACATGGGGGCTGATGCAGCAGAGGAAAGTCCGGTAAGTAACAGAAAATAAACAAGCTAACGCAGATCACATTTGGGACTTAGTGTTAGCTGAGTTCGTTATAGTGGATGTTAAACATGTTTTTTTTTTTTGCCGCGTCAGTTTACGGTGTTCTACTTCTGATTGACTAGATGCAATCGTGAATCTCCTCCGTGTTGTGAATCATGCGCTTGCCAAATTTAGCACGTCTGTTTATAAGAATGTTCTCGTTAAGAGAAAAACGGCACAAACCCATAACTGTGTTCCTCATTCAAAAAAGGACAACTCCGCGGAGAAAAATATACAGACGAGCTGTGTCCAGGTGAATATAACGCGGCATAGTTGTACGCTTTCAATTTTTAAATACAGGAGAAATTCAGAAAGTCCTTTTTTTAACTATTAAAAGGCTGTTTTACTATCTAACGCTGTAAAACGCCTCACAACACATTTTTGTCAAAATAAATGATCACTGTATATTGTTAATTAATTCAAATAATGTAATATTGATTTAGTGTTGTAGTGTGTGTGCTGCTTTATTTTATATGTGTACTTAATTCAGTTTATTTGTGTTTCTTATGCAGAAAAAAACAAGCAACGATGGACAACTACATGGGGAACAAGACACTCACCCCCAGCAATGCATACCACTTACAAACTCTATTCCAGATTCTACATTATTTTTTATGGAATTTACCTCTTATATTTTGATGCCAAAAAATTATTCTGGACTGATATTTTGCACTGTTTAGCTCATTTTACACTGCTGACTGTGGTCATGTGCAATAAAATAGATTGCAGTCAACTGCACAATTCTCTTAAGTTTTTCTTTTTCTTAACTGAAATGTATTCATCACTTGTATAGGTTAAATAGCTAAACAATAACAAACCGATTAATCGATTAATCGAAAAAATAATCGACAGATTAATCGATTATGAAAATAATCGTTAGTTGCAGCCCTAACTTGGGACCAGGAAACTCAGACTCAAACACTCGGGACCAGGAAACTCAGACTCGAACACCTGGGACCAGGAAACTCAGACTCGAACACTTGACTTGACTCGACACCAGGAAACTCGAACACTTGACTTGACTACCAGGAACAGGAACACAAACACTTGACTTGACTGGAACACTTGACTGGAACACTTGACTTGACTGGAACACTTGACTTGACCAGGAACACACTCAAAGACTTGACCAGGAACACACTTGAAGACTTGACCAGGAACACACTCGAAGACTTGACCAGGAACACACTCGAAGACTTGACCAGGAACACAAAGACTTGACCAGGAACACGAAACAAACTGTAGCAGCAGGCGTGGGACCCAGCAGGAACTGCAGCAGCAGGCATAGGACCCAGCAGGAACTGCCGCGTGGAGGACCTGCAGGCATAGACCCTGCAGGCGTGGACCAGGAAGTGGGACGAAAACTGCAGGAGCGACGCGAGGGAACCAGGAGCGGCAGCAGGTACTCGACCACGGTTCTGAGCAGGTGCATACCGTGACTCGACAGGATCCTCAGGCAGGCTCGGGTGAAGGGAAGCAGACCATGGAGCAGGAAGACCAGCCCTACCACCCCGGAGAATGATGGTGTGCGTAGGGGTTTTTACCTCCATCAGAGTACTCCAGGAACAGCAGCTTCCGTGACGAACAGGACGGGGCGAAAAAGCAGGAGAGGAGAATGCCCCCGACCATCCAGAAACAGCTAGGATGTGCCGGAATCTCCCAGAGGGCTCGGCCACCCCGAGAACCGGTAGGATGCGCCGAAAAACCAAAAACTCCGGGCCGAAATCTTCCTCCGCTGAAAGGGACCAAAAAGAAAAATAACCCTCCAGAAACAGAATGGTAGGCTCACCACAGGTCCAGGTTTGGTCGGATCATTCTGTCATGTTCTGCGGGTGGAGATGGCAGACCATGTATGGTGGTGGGTTTCAGGAGGCAGGCAATGGATGAAAAAATAAGAATATGGTTTAATTGTAGAACGGGAGCGACAGGACAAACGAACATGCACAAAATGACAATGATCCGACGAAGACAGCAACAAGGAGGGAGGTATAAATACACAAGGCAATCAGGAACACATGGGCAGAGTAATGAGGGACAGGTGAGAACAATAAGGGTAATCAAGGCAGGAGAGACACAGTCAGGGAGGCCGGGGTGGATCATGACAATCCCTAGCTGTAACCACCCTGCCCTGCCTCCTCCTCCTTGCTACCTGCCGGCTGTGATCACAAGCAACAACACAGTAGTTCCTGCTGCTTCTTCAGGAAACAGCGCAAAAAAAAAAATCAATAAAACTTGGGATCTGGTAGGCGTGGCAGTGGGATTCCAGCCGTGGTGGGCCGCCACGGCTACGCCTATATAAGGGAAACACTGGAGCTGGTTCCACAGGAGAGGAGCCTGATAGCTAAAAGATCTGCCTCCCATCCTGTTTTTAGATATTCTGGGAACCACCAGTAAACCTGCATTCTGAGAGCGAAGTGCTCGGTTAGGAATATATGGAACAATCAGATTACTGATGTATGATGGAGCTTGATTATTAAGAGCTTTATATGTGAGAAGAAGGATCTTAAAATCTATTCTGAATTTAACAGGTAGCCAATGTAGGGAAGCTAAGACAGGAGAGATATGATATCTCTTTCTAATTCTCATCAGAACTCTAGCTGCAGCATTTTGGACAAGCTGAAGACTTTTAACTACATTCTGTGGACTTCCTGAGAGTAATGAATTACAGTAATCCAGTCTTGATGTAATAAATGCATGAACTAGTTCAGCAAATAAGCATCACTCCTGGAAAGGATGCTTATTTGCTGCTTTTCATCTCAGATGTCCTCATCGTATGTTGAGAAATGCTGAAGTTATACTGTATTAGTTTTTGGCCAAATCCTGAAAACATTATGTTAAATTCCATACATTAACATGTCATTTTACAGAAAGTGTTAGAAAAAATGTGTTATTGACTCTCAGTAACAATGACTTTGATTTTTGACAATGGTTTGATCTCTAATCTGTAAATCTTTTCTCAGTGACCTAGTGGTAGAGTGTCCAGCCTGAGACTGGGAGATCAGGGGTTCGATTCCTGGTCGGGTCATACCAAAAACTTTGAAAACTGGGACCCAATGCCTCCCTGCTTGACACTCAGCATTAAGGGGTTGGATTGGGGGTTAAACCACCAAATATTTCCCGAGCGCGACCCCTAGTGGCTCCCTGGAGCTTCTTCAAATATATATGAAAATGGATCAGGGGATATATTTTCTAATTATGGTTTCTGTAGGAGGATAAACATTCTTAACATTTTTCAATGCCATAAAAGGTGCATAATAAAAATAAAAATTCAACATTTCTGCCAACAAAGATTTGCACCATAGCCCACGACACACGTTTCAGCGCGGCGCTGTGCCAAGCAGGTGGCTATTGTAAACAAACTGGCGTGTGTCAGAGCCATGGATCCCAAAGGGAAAAAGAGAAAGATAGCTGATGAGAACAGAGAATTCAAGGAAGAATGGACTGAATCATTTGTTTTCATTGCCAATGCGGAAGGATTGCCTGCATGTTTGCTTTGTAATGAGAAGTTGCCGAACAACAAAAAGAGTAATTTGGAATGACATTCCCAGGGAAGGCCTGCTAAATTGAGAGGGTGCTCGCTGCAGAACCACAAAGGCGGAGCTGCATCATAAGGTGGAGCTGCACCAGAGTCAGCCCCGCCCATTCACGCAAACTCAGCCTAGCCCACTGACTTCCGTTTTTGTTTTCAACTTTATCGCAAACTGACCTGACCCACATGAATTACGGCTGTTACTAGTTTACAGTCGTTAATGCTATGTTCTATGCTCCAATTAAACAAGATAAATATAACTTGCTACATGACAAAGACTGAATATATCTCGAAATGAAAAGGTTTCTTTCAGCAAATATCTGCCCACAGCCGGTCTAACAGAAATGGTGTATAACAGCATTACAGACTTTTGAATGGGCTTTGGTAGTCTAGTGGTGAGATCGTCTGAGTTAAGTTTTGCTTTCCCCTCAGCTGATGCTGGTTCGATTCTCGGTGGGGTCGTCAGCAATCTATTTAGCCAGCTGAAACATTTAATTTGTTTATATTTTAGTTGTAATGTTTATTTTCAGCAAAATATTTATGTCTGTAAAAGTTCTTTGAATTTGGTCGTTCCTAAACAGCATTTTAGTTGAAACTCTGCTCACAAATGGACTCACACTGGCTAAATAAACGAATAAATAAATAAAAAAACACATTAGTCATTATATGTTAAACTGTATACCAGTAAATTGTTGTAAACATAGTACTGGCAAGTGTAGCTAGAAATGAAGAAAAGAGGTTGTACACTACCTAAAACTTACAGTAATGGGAGGCGAACCTGCACAAAACTTCATGTAAACCTGACTCCATAACCACTACACCACCACATCTGTTATAACTCATGCGGCGTTACATCTAATTGTGCTGCCTAGTGCGTCTCTGAGATGGGTTGTATGGTTTTTCGGCAGTGTCTCAGTAGAGGTCATTTCAGAAATAATTTGTCAGAAAATTCACAGAATATCCAGATTTGAGAACCAAGACCAGACCCACTTCGGGGGAGGAGACCAAATTGAAGCTGAGATGGGAGGAAAATGCATGAATGAGGCTAAAAATTGCTTTGGCATGCTTCTTATGAGGAAATGACAATATAACATGATTAAAAGTTCCAAAAGTTAGATTTTCAATTATATTGAACCTTTACAAAAACTGTTCAATTAACTTCTCAACTCCATCCTCGATCTTGCATTTTTTAGCTATAACACCCTCTTTGGTTCCAGAATGCTATCAAGTCTGACAACTGGAAGGAATTGGACTGACTCTGATGGAATGGGCAGGGCTGATTCTGGAATGGGCGGGGCTGACTCTGGTGCAGCTCCACCTTCTGGTGCAGCTCCGCCTTTGTGGTTCTGCAGCGAGCACCACTTGGCTAAATTTGCAGCTGACTACCCAGTTGGGAACGAGAGAAATCTGCAATTGCAGTACTTCTGTAGAAATTAGAAGAGCGCAAAAGTAGATTTAAGAACTGGATTACATCTCCAAACTCTACTACTGCTGCAAGTTTTGTTGCAACCCGAGAGATCATAAACCGTGGAAAACCGTTCACGGACGGTGACATGAAGGAGTCGTTCATCAAAATATCAGAGCACCTATTTTCAGACTTTAAAAAAAAAACTGAAATTATCCAGAAAATGAAAGACAGCAAAGACGGTGAAAGAAAGAGCCATTAAAATGGCAGGTGACATTACCAATCAGCAAATCAAAGATATTAATTCAGCTCCATCGTACTCAATTGCCTGTGATGTGTCATGTGATGTGATGGATATCGAACAGACAGCGCTGTTATGCAGGTACGTAAACTGTGATGGGCAGCCTGTGTTTTAACTGCAGGTGTTTTTTTGCACTGTTGCCCAGATGAGGGGAAAAAGAGAAGAGGATTGTATTGTTATTGAGGTTTGAAGAGGACTATTTCCATGGGAAGGTCTAAAATTGCAGGAAGCCTATGCACAGTCCATTCTGTTATTTTATTCAAATCCTCAAAATAAAAATGACACAAAAACTGACTTCTTTACTGTACTGTATTTCTATAATTTCATCAATGTAACAAGACATAATACTTAAAGAGCAAGTCACCCCCAAATCACATTTTTTTTGCTGATAAACTATATAAAGCAGTGTCTAATCGTGCTGCAGACACGTGTAGTCAATAATTTGGCAGTTCAGTGCATCTTGGTTAAAATTCAAATATTCTGCCTAAAACTGGCAGTGTTGCGCCGTCGTCAGGGAAAAATTCTGCACTGTATTTGAATTTAAATCTGCCACCGCTATTGGCTAAGAGGTATGCTATGATGTCATCTGGTACATTATGATGTCACAATGCCATTGTGAGCCTGTGTGTGTGTGTGTATATGATAGCGGCTCTGCCCTCTCGGTCTGCCAAGCAACAGCATTTGTTGCATTTTTCAAACATGAAGTGGGAGTGAAGTAAGTTTGTTGTACGGGGTGACTTGCTCTTTAAACATTGTAATGGGAGTTAAACTTAAAGCACCAAATATTGTACATCAGAGTAGTCACGTGGTGTGTCATTCTCTCAAGGATGCGCTGCAGGCAAAATAAACATTTATTTATGAATGCTCATTATGTATTTTTTAGCCAACTTAATAATTTTGATAGTAGGCTAATATGGCTAATATACACTTACAACCTGTGTTGCCTACATGTAAGGCTTCCAATTTCTTGCGGCTCTAGACAGATTTGTTTTTTGTTTTTTTGGTCCAATTTTTTTTCTTTGAACATTTTGGGTTGCTGACCCCTGTCCTAACACATGGATGTTCTGCTTCCTGATCACGTGACGTGTGTCGTACGCGGATGAAGATCGGCTTTAGAGCTGAGATGTTTGTTCTGGGGCAGCAGTAGCTCAACAGGTTGAGCGGGTTGTCCAGTAATCAGAAGGTTGCAGGTTCGATCCCGGCTCCGGACAGAGAATTCTGCTGTTGTGTCCTTGGGCAAGACACCTAATCAACCTTGCCTGCTGGTGGTGGTTGGAGGGACCGGTGGCGCCCGTGCTCGGCAGCCTCGCCTCTGTCAGTGCGCCCCAGGGCAGCTGTGGCTACATCGTAGCTCATCACCATCAGTGTATGTGTGGATAAACTATCTGTGAAAACGTTCACACCTGTTAATTCTTCCGTTTTGGGCTGGAAACAGTTTTTAAAACTGTAGACTATTTTACTCCTTGTTCCCGCCGTCTCCCTAAATTATTATTCACATAAATAGTTCTGGTATTAATTCTTTAATTATACATTCACTAAGATAAAGACAATAAAGTTTATCTCTTCCTAAATATAATATTTACAAAGAAATCACAATGGTGTGTGTGCGTGTGCGTGTGTGTGTGTGTGCATGTGCGTGAGTGTGTGCGTGTGTGTGCGTGCGTGTGTGTGCGTGTGCGTGAGTGTGTGTGTGCGTGTGTGTGTGTGTGCATGTGCGTGAGTGTGTGTGTGTGAGTGCGTGCGTGCGTGCGTGCGTGTGCGTGTGTGTGTGTGTGTGTGTGTGTGTGTGTGTGTGTGTGTGTGTGTGTGTGTGTGTGTGTGTGTGTGTCTGCTCTGTCTTCTCGATCCCCAGTGAGTCGTGGAGGATGGCTGCTTATACTGAGCCAGGATTCTCTGGAGGTTTCTTCTTGTTAAAAGGGAGTTTTCCTCCCCACTGTCGCTGCATGCTTGCTTGGTATGAGGATTGCTGTAAAGACTCTGACACTAGTCAGTGACTCAATGCAATTTGCTGGGTTCCTTAAATAGGAAACTTTTAGCTGATTGGCTTAATGAACTGACCTGAATTGGAATGTTTATTATGTGAAGTGCCTTGAGACAAATCTTGTCGTGATTTGGCGCTTTATAAATAAACTTAACTGAATAGAATCGGTGTCATGGTTGTTGAATCTAATAAAGTGAACTGTTTTGTTCCATTAGCACTGCTCTCCAGTCTGCTATGTTTTAATCACCTCTCACGTTCTCAGATGTGTGAACTCACTGGATTATCTTGTTTTCCTTTAAAACTGTTGAGTTGCTTGAATTTGATGATTTGTTTTGACCAATCAAACAATCTGTTGAAAAATTAGAAAGAAATGCAGATTAGTGTGATTTGTGAATATATTATTAAGGTTCTACATGTTCTGGAGCTGATTTTTGTGTGTCTTCTTAGGTCCAACAAGTCTGACAGCACTGTCCGCTCTGCTGAGAGCGTTGGCGTTCGTCAGCCGGCCAAGAGCAAAATTAGGCGTCACAATAGGTTTTCCACTGTTTTCAACCACAGCCCCGACCTGTGGGACAGCGGGCACCGTGGAAAGACGAGGGGTAGCAGTAGCCTGTCTGGAGAGCTTCCGCCTGCAGACGACCCGGCTGAGCTGTCCAGCCGGTTGTCTGTTCCAGGAATCCTGAAGATCTTTGGTAGTGACATCTGTCATGGGACCCACTACAAGAGCGTACTGGCTACCACTCAGTCCATTGCAAAGGAGCTGGTGAGGGAGGCCTTAGAGAGGTGAGACATCTCAGTCTGCTCTGTGAACAGCCAGCCTCCATCTCTCAAACAACCCCTCATCCTTAGCTATCACTTAAACACATGGTCCCTTTCTTCCTGAGTTCAGACACAGAGCTACGTTTAGTAGAAACGCTCACATCTTAAACTCTGAAGGAGGTTTTGCACCATTTATAGAACTACTCTGTGTAGAATTGCCACAGAGGTGGAGGTGGTGCATTGGGAGGTGAGGACCCAAAGTAAAACAGAATAGAAAATTAATTTATTGTCCTTTCATTGGGGAAATTTTGGCAGAACAGCAGAAGCATCAGATGCAAACACAGATAGCAACGTATTAACCGAACCTCTTGTAGTAAAAAAAAAAGTCTGACAGAGCAGCAAACAAAGGAAGTCCCATTTAAGCCTCATTTATACGAGTCTGGAGGGGATGAGAAGCCAGGCAGCTTCCGCAAAGACCAAACATCATTGTGTCCAATCAGAGCATTCACACCAAACAGAACAAAGTCGTATGTAACAGCTGAGCTGGTGCAGGTGTGAGTGATTACCTGGTAGAAAAGAAATAAGCTGTAGAACAGAGAGAAGGAAATTAAAAACAGGAAACAACAAATGAAATAACACAAATAAAAGCCTTCAACAAGACTGAAACCATAAGTTATTTCATCAGAAGCAGGTGTGTTTAGGTGACATTAAAACGTTTGAAATGGTCCAAACCCACTTAAAGAATTTGGTCCTCCATCTGTTGCCCCGCGATCCTTGTGTCTGAGTGTCTGCTCCTGTTGTCCAGGTACTGTCTGGAAAAAGAAGACTCAGATGACTATGTGCTGTGCGACGTGATTGGACAGACAGGGGCTGATAACCAGTGGAAGAGAGAGTGTTTCAGAGTAGTTGGAGACAACGAGAAGCCCCTCATGCTGCAGTCCCTTTGGAAGCCAAAGGAGGGCTTCTCCAGAAGGTTTGAGATTCAGCGGCGAGCAACAGTTAAGGAGCAGAATCAGAAGGACAGAGACACGATCACAGCAGGTATTTACATCCCATCCTGATTCAGCGAGCCTAACATCTTTACTCCGGGGTGATAATCAGTCTCAGTCTGGACAGGAGGAGCCGTCCTCCCTGACTCTTGCCCTACAATAACAGTTTTTATTGTCCCATTTATCAGCAGCTGGAACCAAGGAGACATGAAGAGGGTCAGGAGGGGCTCCGAGTGGCCCTGCTCTTATCTGTATTTATTTAAGGGACCCATCACGTCCCTGTGGAGCGTTAAGCTACTGGACAGCTTGTCCAACTGGATCAGGAGCAGTCAGAACTTGGTTTCTGCTCATTGTGTTTGGTTTGGGCTTGTTTGATTCTCATCTCTGTCAGAGCAGCTTTGTTAATGTAGAATTTTAGACTTAAATTTAATAGTGGTTGTATAACTGTCTAAAAGCTAGCAGGCGTTGTGATACCTGATGGTGTTCATAGGTACCAGACCTGAAGTCTCTGTCCATCTAACTAGCTGCCATGTTTCTGGTTTCGTGTTTTCATGGGAAGTTTAGTGTCTCATATGGTCATAATGTTTTACAGCTTTGAAAACTAAAAACATTAGTCTGACTCTGCTGTGAATCTCCTCCTCCTCCCCCTCTCAGTGACCAGGAAGCGGCTCTCTGTGGGCTTTAGTGCCCGTTCTGCCAGAGCTGTGCTGAACAAAAGAAAACACCCATTTCCACAGCTGATAAGAGCGGCGGGTGTGAAGCCCGGTTTTGTGGACATTCCTCTGTGCTTAATGGCTCCAGAACAGCTGAATGCTGTTTGTGTTACGTCAGACTGAGTTGCTGTTGGTACAGATGCAGCTTGACTTTACTTTAGTCCTCTGGTTCTGTTGGCTTTGAAGCAGATCCGTTTGACTGAATCGTTACTCTGGGATCTGACCGGGGTTCTGGTAATGATGAGCAGACCTGTCCATGGTCAAAGATGACTCAAGTATGATTTACTGCTAGTTTTACAACCACAACATTTTATTTTCTGATGACCTTTAATATAAAAGCAGAGATGAGGTTCTGGTTCTGTTATCAAGCAGGCGTTAGTTTTAGTTTAGAATACATACTTTCCTGTTCAGTTAACTTACAGTCTCGCTGTTGATCCAGGTATTAACGCTCAGGCTCGTAAACTTCAGAGGAACCGCTCCAGAGTTGCCTCCCTGTTTGTGGACAGCAGTGGGGATGATGCAGATGGACTTGGGTTCTGGAGGAGTCTGAGTGAGATGGATCTGTCTGCAATGGGGAAGGAGGCTAGCCGAGCCCAGCAGAGTGCACTCAAAGAGGACCCGGAGGCCGAGGCCGACAAGGAGGTGCTGCGACTGGGTGTGGAGAAAGAAGAGACAGAGAGCAGTGATGACAACACCACCCAGTACTCCATCCACCCTCCGTTTGACTTCCCGTACTTCCTGCTGCTGCAGGGCTACAACCACAGACAGGTACGGACAGGAATGTCCCAGAGCGAAGCTGTAGTGGGGATTCAGACTATCGCATTATTACTTTGTAGTTTTCTGACTTCCTTTCACTGTCAGTTTGGGTTTACCAGACAGTTAATACGAAATGTTACAATACCTAAAGCTAGACGACATTTGCAGTTTGTAAGACTGAATCCAATAGGACAACTGAGGCCAGGCCCTTCCAAGACACACCCATTGTTATGACCAGATCTTGTTTTCCTGTCGGATTTAAGAAGGTAAAAACTGCCGCCACTTAGCAGCTGAGTTTCAGTTACAGTGGGGCAAAAAAGTATTTAGTCAGCCACCGATTGTGCAAGTTCTCCCACTTAAAATGATGACAGAGGTCAGTAATTTACAGCATAGGTACACTTCAACTGTGAGAGACAGAATGTGAAGAACAATCCATGAATTCACATGGCAGGATTTTTAAAGAATTTATTTGTAAATCAGGGTGGAAAATAAGTATTTGGTCAATAACAAAACTTCAATTCAGTACTTTGTAACATAACCTTTGTTGGCAATAACAGAGGTCAAACGATTACTATAGGTCTTTACCAGCTTTGCACACACAGTAGCTGGTATTTTGGCCCATTCCTCCACGCAGATCTTCTCGAGAGCAGTGATGTTTTGGGGCTGTCGCCGAGCAACACGGACTTTCAACTCCCTCCACAGATTTTCTATGGGGTTGAGGTCTGGAGATTGGCTAGGCCACTCCAGGACTTTCAAATGCTTCTTACGGAGCCACTCCTTTGTTGCCCGGGTGGTGTGTTTGGGATCATTGTCGTGTTGAAAGACCCAGCCACGTTTCATCTTCAAAGCTCTCACTGATGGAAGGAGGTTTTGGCTCAGAATCTCACGATACATGGCCCCATTCATTCTATCCTTAACACGGATCAGTCGTCCTGTCCCCTTAGCAGAAAAACAGCCCCAAAGCATGATGTTCCCACCCCCATGCTTCACAGTAGGTATGGTGTTCTTGGTGTTCTTCCTCCAAACACGACGAGTTGAGTTTATACCAAAAAGTTCTACTTTGGTTTCATCTGACCACATGACATTCTCCCAATCCTCTGCTGTATCATCCATGTGCTCTCTGGCAAACTTCAGACAGGCCTGGACATGCACTGGCTTCAGCAGCTGAACACGTCTGGCACTGCAGGATTTGATTCCCTGCCGTTGTAGTGTGTTACTGATGGTGACCTTTGTTACTGTGGTCCCAGCTCTCTGCAGGTCATTCACCAGGTCCCCCCGTGTGGTTCTGGGATTCTTGCTCACCGTTCTCATGATCATTTTGACCCCACGGGATGAGATCTTGCGTGGAGCCCCAGATCGAGGGAGATTATCAGTGGTCTTGTATGTCTTCCATTTTCTGATAATTGCTCCCACAGTTGAGTTTTTCACACCAAGCTGCTTGCCTATTGTAGATTCACTCTTCCCAGTCTGGTGCAGGTCTACAATTCTTTTCCTGGTGTCCTTTGAAAGCTCTTTGGTCTTAGCCATAGTGGAGTTTGGAGTCTGACTGTTTGAGGCTGTGGACAGGTGTCTTTTATACAGATAATGAGTTCAAACAGGTGCCATTAATACAGGTAACGAGTGGAGGACAGAAAAGCTTCTTAAAGAAGACGTTACAGGTCTGTGAGAGCCAGAGATTTTCCTTGTTTGAAGTGACCAAATACTTATTTTCCACCCTGAGTAACAAATAAATTCTTTAAAAATCCTGCCATGTGAATTCATGGATTTTTTTTCACATTTTGTCTCTCACAGTTGAAGTGTACCTATGATGAAAATTACTGACCTCTGTCATCATTTTAAGTGGGAGAACTTGCACAATCGGTGGCTGACTAAATACTTTTTTGCCCCACTGTACATCACACATAAAAAATGAAGTAAATGTTTATAAATTCTCAGCAAAAAATTGATATTCAGCTTTTAAACATCGATTTTAGTATGATAACATGAATTATTACAATATTCCACTCAATCCAATATCCCAGTCTTACCACTGCGTTGACCTTTGTGTGTTTAAAGGGAACTAGGCAGTTTTGGCTTGCTTTTAGTACCCCCTAGTGTCCTTTTGTAGAACCAAAAGCAAATTTTATCGCCTCACTGTGTGGTCATCTTTTTTAACTCGTAATCTAACAGCTGAAATGTCTCCCCAGCCTTCCTTAGTGTCTACAGGAGTGATTTATCACTAAATTACTGTATTTTCCAGTGTATAAGTCGCTCCGGAGTATAAGTCACACCAGCCATAAAATGTATAATGAAGAAGAAAAAAACATATAAAAGTCGCATTTTGGGGGGAAATGTTATTATTTTTCTTACAAAATCTGAGACCAAGCATTCCACATTGCAAGACAAGTACCGGTAACAATAACAGAATAAATAACCAGGGCGCAGCAGTGCACCACGGTCTCCAGCAGAGGATGGCGGTGTTTGAAACCCTCCCAGCGAGACAGGGGAGCTCATTCCTGGGTCGGCGCTGCCCGGCCCGCAGCAGCTCGCCACAGGCTCCAGCAGGTGATGGCGAGGCAGAGGAGCTGGTCCGGAGCCGGTCCGCAGCAGCGCGGTATACATAATTTGGTATATACAGTAAATCGCTCCAGAGTATAAGCCACAGGACCAGCCAGACTATGAAAAAAAAAGTGACTTATAGTCTGGAAAATACGGTAAACAGATCAGCTGTGTTCATCATCTAAAGCATGCAGGAAACATGCTGGAACCAGACTGCAGCTCCATGTATGAGCCTGCTCCACACTCTGTTCGTGTCTCAACCTCTTGTGTCCTTTAGCCACCAGACCCGCTAGATCCTCTCAGTCGCACTCTTGGCTAACTGATACCCTCTGGTCTCTATGCACCAATCTCAGAGCTGCTGAATGGAAATGGCACAAAACGAAAGATCCCGCTGATCTATCAAAATCCTAGGCATTACTGTCCTCATTCTCTGCCAGCATCACTGATGCTAAGAAAACCTAGCCTGGCAAGCCAGACTATAATTTGGTCTAGTTAACTAGGCTAAAGAAAACCTTCTACACTGACTAAATTCTCAGCTCTGCTGACACTCAGAGACTATTTTCGACATTTACAACTCTACTTAACCTTCCACTTCCGCCACCTGCCAACAATCTATCAGCAGACACCTTTGCCTTATTCTTCACTGAGAAAGTGGCAGCTATTAGTGTAGCGTCCAACAATGGTCAGTTTAGGTACTGCCATGTTGCGGGTGTGGATGACGGCGGACCACGTGTGGAAGAGCTGACAGGAGGCAAAAATGCAGGCTCGGATAAAGTAAAAATGGGTTTAATTGCAGAGCGGGAACGACAGAACAAAACAACGCTGACAACAAACAATGATCCGACCAAGGCTGATACAAGAAGGGAGGTATAAATACACAGGGGAACATCAGGAACACATGGGCAGGTTAACAAGGGGCAGGTGACACAAATAAAAACTAATCAGGAGGCAGGAGAGAGTCACAGTCAGGGAGGCTGGAGCAGATTGTGACAGGTACAGCCTGACCTTTTACCATCTATTCAACATCTGGCCAGAAAGGAGACACAACATTGCCTGTGCTCCTTTTACATGAGTCTGCCTTCACGCCAGCTGGGATTCACAGACTCTGCTAGTCTGAAAGATAAACAATGACTTTCTTTCCCCAAGGTCTCATCTGTCTGCCTCCAGAAGAAAGAACTCCAGTTCCAATCAGTTGCTAAATTTAAGAATGATTTAATAAATCAATATGAACTGCTTCTATGACTTATAATCTAGATAATCATTAAATAAACATTTGTTTATTACTACTTATAATAATTATAGTATAATGAAATGCTTCATTAATGCAAGTGGTGCTCGCTGCAGAACCACAAAGGCGGAGCTGCACCAGAGTCAGCCCCGCCCATTCCATCAGAGTCAGTCCAATTCCCTCCAGTTGTCAGACTTGATAGCATTCTGGAACCAAAGAGGGTGTTATAGCTAAAAAATGCAAGATTGAGGACGGAGTTGAGAAGTTAATTGAACAGTTTTTGTAAAGGTTAATGAAAAATCGAACTTTTGGAACTTTTTACCATGTTATATTGTTATTTCCTCATAAGAAACACGCCAAAGCCATTTTTGGCCTCATTCATGCATTTTCCTCCCATCTCAGCTTCAATTTGGACTCCTCCCCCGAAGCGGGTCTGGTCTTGGTTCTGAAATCTGGATATTCTGTGAATTTTCTGACAAATTATTTCTGAAATGACTTCTAGTGAGACACCGGCAGAAAAACCATACATCCCATCTACAAAGACACGCTGGATGGCACAATTACTTGTAACGCCACATGCTTTTTATCAAATGTGGTGGTGAAGTGGTTATGGAGTCACATTCACATGCAGTTTTGCGCAGGTTCGCCTCCCGGTAACGGAAGTACGTAGGTAGTTTAAAACCCTTTTTCTTCATTTCTAGCTACACTTGCCAGTACTATGTTTACAACAATTTACTGGTATACCGTTTAAAATATAATGACTGTGTTTTATTTTTTTTATTTATTTGTTTATTTAGCCAGTGTGAGTCCATTTGTGAGCAGAGTTTCAACTAAAATGCTGTTTAGGAACGACCAAATTCAAAGAACTTTTAGAGACATAAATATTTTGCTGAAAATAAACATTACAACTAAAATATAAACAAATGAAATGTTTCAGCTGGCTAAATACTGTAGATAGCTGCCGACCCCACCGAGAGGCGAACCAACATCAGCTGAGGGGAAAGCAAAACTTAAGTCAGACGATATTGCCACTGGACTACCAGAACACTTTCGATAGCCTTAAATGCTGTTGTACCCAGCTTTTGTTGGAGCGGCTGTGGGCAGATATTCGCTAAAAGAAATCTTTTCATTTTGAGATATATTCAGGCTTTGTCATGTGGCAAGTTATATTCTTCTTGTTTAATTGGAGCATAGAACATAGCATTAACAACTGTAAACTAGTAACAGCCGTCATTCAGGTGGGTCA